GAAAGCAACATCACTGACAAGTTACAAACATGCTTCACTAACAAACTGTCAAGCTTTCTGGCCAGACCTGCGTGTGGATCTTGTGGAGGTCCTTGTACTGTTCCTCAGGAAGTATAGCCATTCACATTCAAACCTTCTTGCATAATTCATGCAACTCAAAATGAATTCAACATTTCAACGTGCAATCGAAAGTCTTTGGCTCGGACAACAGCACCTCCACGAGTCCTCGCCCTCGTGCGATTGGATGTCCCCTGCCTGTACTCCTCCAGCTGGTACTCATCCCTGATGGTCTTGCCATCAACTCGGATGGTACCGTCGGACATCCACATCTCCTGAACAAACATGGAGGCAAGTCGACACTGTCAATTGACATGGTGAAGCGATTGTCTGAAAAACTGAAACCGAAGGCTTGAGCAAACTCTATAACGCTGACAAGCTGCCTTTTTTTGGTTGTGCCATGTCACCCGGACCACCGAAGTCACCTGTTGGGCATGATTCGTTCTCCATTCACGTCAGATAGATGTCAAGCAAAACAAAAGGAAAATGAAACAAAACTTGCAAACTCACAAACTGTTTGAGAAAAAAGCCCAAACCTGTGCTGGCGGTGGTGGTGGCGGCATTGCCGGTTCCGGCGGAGCCATGGAGGCATTGGTCCCTTGCACCTGCCGGACATGGGTTTCTTTCACAATATGTTCTGATACTGGCACAAAACATGCACTTGCTGTTTTGAATTTCTATCCACACCAATATATGTTGGTGTGTATTGATATTAATTGTACATTGAACGAAATGACACAACAATGCAATGATTCGCATAGACCTTCTGTTCCGCTTGCTTCACGGCGTACTTGAACGCCAGATCCTGGAGGAACGCAGGCGTCAGGTCCTTCTGCTCCGGCAGTCTGGCATCCTGGGACCACACTGCACACCGAAACTGCCATGACATGGTCCAAGAACATAAACGATGCTTACAATATGAGCGCATGATCCCCTGCCTGGCCGTAGACTGCTCGAAACCCAGCCAGCCATCCATCGCCGGCAGGGTTTACCTTCGGCTTCTTCATTTTCATCAGCGGGTATCCCTGCGTGGAAACGCTATAACAGCACAGCATCCTTATATGCGCTACTCATAGACTGCTATCAACAACGATGCACTGCTGAAACATACATCAAAACTTTCAATATGAACAAACTTTTGACTAGGCCTCGTCCGTGGAGGAATCCATCGCACGCTCCACGCTTGATGACCCCTGCAACAGAGTGTGAGAAGAATTGAAAAAACATAACTCATCGAAGCAGGGCTTTGCAAATCGAGCCTCAAAGGCCACATGTCTCCTTGTTGATGTCGTGACCAACCGCTCCTCATCCAGCGGCGCCTGAGTGTCACAATAAATTTTGAACATCTTACTGCACTGAATCAAATTTGACTTTGATATACGGGTATATGTCTCAACATCATGAGGGCGTCCTTTTGGTGCAATAAAGAACAATTTCAGTTGTAATGGTAGCCTTTGATGCAATACATCCATATACTTTTGAAGCAGCGCAACATGTAAGAGCACCACTGCATGATCAGAGATGGAATCCTGGGGTGTCCACTCGCTTCTTTGGCATTGCCTTGCACGCCACTCTCGGCTTGTCACTTGCAGACCCTGCCCCAGTGTCCTGACGCGTGCCAAGGGGCATGAGAAGCATTGTCAAAATGCCAGCAACACATCCAGTTGAAACATACGGCTCAATTACTGTAAACAAAGCAGCCGTAGTGCAACAAAGTGGCATCGTCCGGCACTTCCACCACCCCTTCCATCTTGGCCTGATACCAAGTAAGGCTTCACGGGTCACATGAACAGTAGCTAGGCTTCCACGCTAACAGTTTCAAGCTGTCCCTGATGACCAAACATGAGGATAAGATCAAACCAAAAAGTGAACACAAGCCTTGTTGCGCCATGGTGGCTCTGGCTCCTCGGCTGGCTCCTGCACAGGCTTAAGATATCAAGCAACTGTCACAAACCACAAAACATGCAGTAAACTTGTATCAAAAAAAATGCATGTTATCATATCTTCAAAAGAATGACAGTGAAGCTGTCCTTCGACGGCTCACGATCTTTGCCGCCCGGGCCCCACTTGCCCCACTTCTCATCGTCATCACGGCCCCTATTGGGCCACCACCAGCTCCACGACATGGCGCAGCAGAGGATCAGGATCAGGCACCGCATGCAAAGTGTCTAGGATGGCCAAATGGCTGACGTGTCTAGGTATGCGATGACCAATTCGTGGCCATGCTAAGTTGAACTTGCACTGTGTGAAGTGTGATGCAGTGGGCGTATATGCCTATGATGGAAATGGCGTAATTATTGACTCATTGCGAAGTATGTATGTAGGGTTAGCGTGCGTCAGTTACAGTTAGTTCTCGATCAAAGGTGGCTGGGATGCCTGTAGGAATGTCATCATCAACAGGTGACCCCATGATTGAAGTTGAAGTTTCATTGCTGATGCTTGAGGTTGCTGTGCATTCACATGGATGCATGAAGTTGTGTTCAACATGATGGAACTGACATGTTTTGCATCCTTATAAAACAACATGACACCAACACAATGAAAGTTGTTAGGCCCCGAAGGGCAACCGAATGAAACTGCTCGTATGTGTGTGTGTGAACTGTGGTGCATCGTGTGCATGTGAACCCATGGCAAATGTTTCAAAAGTTGCCTAAGGGCCATCCGTCTGCGGTTTGCGAACAAAGTGAGGCACTGAAGCAATCATCAAAGCATGTCTCCAATCGCAAAAACCAGCCCAAATCATGAAGCCACATGCACTGGCCCTTCTCTTCCATCCCAAGCACGCCTTCTGTGGAAAAGCTTGGCGAGAATCCAACCTGTCACACCGAACGCACAAGAACACGATACAAAAATCAATGCAAAATCGAATCGAAACAATGCATCATGTCAAGTCAACCAGGCGTTGGGACAGCTCGCACTCTCTCATTCCACAGTGCTGGGCTAGCTCGCGCCATCCCAGGAAAACATTTCAATCCGTGGTCCCAGCCTCATCCATCCACGTTGGCTAAAGGAAAAACTCATCTCCGCCTGGCCATGGTTGGATGGATTTTGTTTTTTTTTTCAGTCCTTTGCAATCTTGAAACTGACAATCATCCAAGAAAGCTGAATCTCAAAACTTGCTGAATCACAAAATTTGAAAATCAGACTTGTGGATCCACAACTTTTCAACTTGCCAACTTGTGGATCCACAAAAATCTCTAATTCTACTTTTCAAATTTTGTGGATCCACAATTTTCGGTATCAAAATTTTGTGGATCCACAAAATTTTAAAAATCAATGTTTTTCCAAAAAAAATAGAAGAAAATAGGGGGGAACTCTCGCAATTTTTTTTTTGATGTTTGAAAAAATGTTGAAATTTTCAATTGAATTTGATGATTTTTCCAATGGCGCCAGTATTGCAAAACACAATACCGTTCCTATGTTTTTTGTTTTTTTTTCGATTTCCAATTGAATCTATTTTTTGACTTTTTTCTATGATAATCTTTGGTAGATAGCGCTCAGATGACTCCCTCCTACCCATCATCGCCTCGGGAAATGCACTCCCGGAAGTTTCCAAGACGGCCTGCAAAGCCCGCACCTGCAACATACACATGGCAACACAAAAAAAGAATGGGATGAATTGCATGAGTGCCGGCAGCGAGCAAGCCATGCCCAGCTGCCAGAAACACACAATGAATGCAATTTTGATCGCATGGTTTCAAACACATCAATGCAAACACAAGGCACTCAACAGCAATTACGTTGAAGTGTTCAGCTGAAGAAGCAACATCTTCAAAATCCAAAAACGAACCTGCACACGCACCTCGAATGTGGACCCATCGACACGCCGCAATGTCCTCGACAAATTTGCAGGCATCATCATATTACAAAATACATGCAGCTTACACCTTGAACTCGCAAAATAGAAAGCCATCGTGAAGTGAAACTATCAAGATATAGAGTGCTTCGATTCATCAAACATCCATGACAAATGGACATCCAAAAGCTAAGGACTGCAGGCACCAATAAACGATGTGGATAGTATAGCCAAAAATACGTCAAGGATAGCTTCAGTCATCGTCAAAACATCATCGAATGGTTAAATGAGATGGACACATGATATCAGGATCTCTGTGAAGTTCCAACATTCCAACATCGAACGCATAGCATCAATGCTAGTGCAACGAACGTAAGCAGAACAGTCCTCCTGTGTGTTCTGTTGGCTTTGGCAGCGCTGGCTCCTGAAAATTCAGGAGCCAGTCCGTCACATACGATCAGGGTGTTGCCTGCTACATTGACAATGTCCAAATTCCTGTATCAAGAAAACATACTTATGTATAGAGCGTGCATTTTGCATTGACCCTGATTGTCCTAAGCAGTATGTCTATACATTCAAACATACGCCACAGACATGAACTTGTCCGATACACATTCGAAAACGTCGAGGCAGGCTTTGAAAGAATTGACTTACATCATGTTCGAAATGAGCAAGCTACCATGTACGTCTTTCTCAGAATGAAGCCAAACAGCCAAGACATTCGCACAGTCCTGTGTTGAAGTAGACGTGCGTGTGATTGAAACTGCGTAAGCAAAATCCGCTCGACAAATGGGCAGCGAAGAGAGTCACAGCAACACGCAATCAATCTGAAACCACTGAGAGTAGTGAACCTTTGCTGAAAACAACATTCTCAATCTGATTCCATTTTCATCTCCAACGACGCCTGTATACCGGTTTTGCAGCAAAAGTCATTCAAAAACCGCAGCAAAGCAACAGCCAAGGCCCAACAGCGTAGAATGACTATCACGAGACATTTGAATCACACTCCAAGAATTGGTTTGAACCAACGACTGAAACAAATTTCGATCTTATGCACCTTGAACGCACGAATATCAACGATGCTTGGACCAGACTGGCAATGCTTTTTTTCAAACTCCTGTCAGAAGCATCACACATCCAACTTGCCCTACAAATGCGGCAGCTCATGAGATTCAATCTTCAGCCATCCACTTGGCCGGTGTGCCAGCTTCACCTTCAACAGCAACCATCCACGTTCCTCCATACAGGCCTGGATCCACTTTTTGCGTGGGCATGGCGGTGGTTCGCGAAAGCGCTTGTTGTAGTTCACAACCTCCACCCATTCCCCCACACATTCATCCATGTCTTCGTTCCAGACACGCTTCTTCTCCTGCGCACTCATACGACTGACGGAGTACACAAACCTGCGCTTCTGGGCAGGTTCCTTCTCAATCTTCTCACTTGCTCGCATCTTCTTCTCTGTCATCTGATTCCATGGGCTCCTGGGCATCTTCACAGATTTCATGGCGTGGTTCTTCATTCCCGCTTTCTCGGCTGGCATCTTCTTCATTGCCGCCTGCTTGGCTGGCACCTTCATTGCAGCCTTCTTGGTCAACGCCTTCTTGGCCGCCGGCGTTCTCTTCACAGCCATCAGGCAGCAAAAGGTTGAACTTTCTGGTTGAAACTTGCAAGTGTGAGCCAATCACTGAAGTGCATAAACCAGCAGGAAGTCATGATTTTCACGCGTGCATCAGTATGCACAGCATGATGCGGCCAATGGAAGCAACGATGACAACTCAAAGCAATGGAAACCTGCCGACACATAGTGGCTCAAGGCCCAATATGTTCCAGATGTGACCTAAGGATGTGAAGTTTCCTGCAAAACTCGAAAACAACAATACAAATGCAGAAGATGCACGACATGACTGGCAATGAGACTGAAAATTGCAAGTGCTGGCACAAGAAGCACAAACAGATTTTTTCTTTCATGCCCTCACGCTGTCATATCTCACGGAGTCTCAGGCGTGACTTTGGCCTCAATAAGCTGCTTGATACGATTCTTCTCAGCATCCGTCATGGCCCAGGTTGCTGCGACATCGTCGAAAGGGATCCTGGGCAAACAAACACATCACCACTGGAAGGTCGACTAGAAAGGGAGAACAAGTACACATCAAAAATATGGAACAACGTTTTCCCATACGAACCGGATTTTCTGGAATGAAGTTGTGTTCATAAACAAGTCTCAAACGTACCGAGCCATCAAGGCGTTCAACACGCCACTTGAGACCATCGTCCATGATCCAAGAGCAGGACCAAATGACCCTGCTGGCATCGTCAGAGCTGATGGAGCGCTTCAAGAGACGCGGCATGATGTAGCAGGAAGCGCACGATTTCTACGATTCTTACTGTAATGTTTTGAATGCGGCTACAGAAGCACAATCGGCAATCTCATGGACCTTGTTGACTTGACCGCATCTGGATGCCAATGAAGCGACAGCAATCACAAACGAATCAGAACAACAAGCGATAGATCTTTTGGAGACAACTTAATTGAAAGTGAATGCAATGAACTTGCAGCATCATGTGAAATGCATCTTGTGCTTCAACATGCAAGTGGCAAATTGGAGGGAGGAGCAGCTATATTTTCTTGTCCAGCAGAAGCTCACCAGTCTTTGCTAAGGAAGATCTATTGGCATGCCCTTTCTCACGCAGCAGTCGTGTGTGATTTGGCAAGCCAATTCACGCAGGCCACTTGCTTCAGCCATCCTCGGTTTTCTCGCCACCCTCTTCTGCGCTCGGGCGCTTCTTCAGTCTTCGCCGTTTTCGTTTCGGAGATGGCTTCTCCACTGGTTCTGCAGGCGCCTCCGCTTTCACCACAGCATCCGAAGCTGACAACGCTGCGATGATGTACCGCAGATTGCCTTCCTCCAGCTCCACCTCCAGCTCACGGCTTCTGATGGACCATAACATGGTCATCTCTCGGGCTGGCATGCCAAAGGCCTCCACCTCCGGGAACTCCACGTGCACCACGCGCGATACGAACCACTTATCATCTTCGCGCGGTGGGCGAATTTTTTGGGGAGCTTCCCCTTCCTGCACCCCACTGAGCATGTTCTTCTTCACCAAAGCACTACATGCTTGGTGCCGCATGCGTCTTGCCTCGTCCCACCACTGGACGTTGAGGCTGTGAGGGTCTCTTTTCTGGTGTCGGTTTTGACCCTTTCCTGTCACGAGGAAGCACAGGCCTGGGTCATTCTTCGAGAGGGTCACGAAGGTTCGGCCATCCACTTCCTGACACTGAGGGAACCAAGGCCGCCGATCACCCAACTGCACCCTGGTGACCTTCTCAATCACCAGCGGCAATCTGCCAACATCTTCTTGCTCTTCGTTCGCTTCTTCAAGCTCTTCGGGCTCCATCTCTGCGTGCGCGCCATCCGCCATGGCCCAGGTCCTATAGCTATGTGTTGCAACCTCTTCCACATAGCCATGCAAAGCATGATCAGTTAGCCCATATGACCTGGGAGCACTATATGTCCTGTTGACCTCTCCAGGTACGAGTGCATGTGTAGCCAGTTTCAAATCTTAACCCTTTCCTTCTGCAGCCTTCTGCATGTGTTTGTACGCATGCAGCTGCACTGAGATCACACAGACATCCTGCAGTCATGAAAGTAGCATGCGAGCTTTTGGAAAAAGCCCAGCAGCCGGCAGTAGTCACAGAGTTATAGGACAGAGCAGGTCAGTGATTGGAAAGCTCAATGCAGTGTATCTTGTCAGGATTCGTTTTTTTTCACTCATGATGTGGACAACATGAATTCTAGTACAGAGCAAGTCTTTGGTTGGAAAACTCAATGCTGTGCATCATGTTAGGATTCATTTCTTTTCACTCACGCGCTGGGGCACATGCTCGCGCGGTCACCGAATACAGCTGTTCAGGCCACGCCATGGACTCATAACAATGACAAATTGCTGGCCAAGGCTGAAAAATGCCAATTAGGTTCCTTACTTACAATTTCTCAAGTCTTTCGCAGCCTCTTGGAAGGTCCAGCCCTCAACGGCTCACCCTGCGCCTTGTCCTTTTTCTCCATGTACAGCAATAGCTCATCTCCTGCCTCCAACTTGTCAGAGTTGCGAAGGACTGGCAAACCAATCTCCTTGTCAAGCTTGATGACCTTCGTCTTCAAGACATCGATGGACGGGTAGACCTGCGCAGAGCAGCTCATGATTCAAGTTCGTTCAAGGACGGAGACAGCGTACTCAGTCAGATTTACATGAACAAACATGTGTATTTGTGTTTGTATGCATGTACCCAGAACTTCCATTCCTCCTTATTTAATTTAAGGAGTTTTTTTTTAAAGGAATTCCACCTTAATTAAGGAGGAATTCCCTTAATTAAGGAGGAATTTTTCCTTAATTCAGGAATTCCACCTTAATTAAGGAGGAATTCTCCTTAATTAAGGCGTTTTTTTTTGAAATTCCCTCCTTATTTTTTTTTAGGAAGATTTTTTTTCACTGTTTTTAGATACATCTTTCACAGCATCATTGCATCAAGACCGACCTTTGGAGGTTGCTTCAAGGAGATGCAAGATCTCCTTTTGGTGTTTTGATTTCCTGCATGTAATGTTTGTGCATCGCATCTGCAGTTGATTTCTCAAGATGACTAGAGCTAAGAACACTGCTTCTGTTCAAGACCTTTGCAAATGTTTGAAAGCAGAGGTGGCTTGTTTGGATCCCGAGAAGTACTTGGATGTTGAAATTGATCAAGTTTGCAAGCATTATCGAATTTCTGGGCGTGATGTTCCAGAAAACAATTCGACCATCCAAAGAGTGCTTGAAGGAAGCTGCCTTGAAAGTCTACCCTCGCTGTTTGAGTGACGAAGCGAAGAAGTGGTCTTCTGCAATTGTCGAATGTGTGCAACACATCAGAACAAAAGCAAAATGGTCAATTTCAAGTAAGAAATATGAGTCTTGGATGGGTGAGCTTGTGAAGATCTATCTGGAGTGCTCAGAATTCCATGGGAACCGGCAGAAAGGCAAGTTTGTTCAGAAAGCCATTGCCAAGCGAAGGCTCATGAGACAAAGTTCCAATGCGAGCTCCATCCCACAGTTGCCTGTGAATGAACCACTTTTGCAAAAATTTCCTCCAGGCCACAGCTCAGAAACATTGGATAGCCAAGAGCATCAATTGATAGAAGTGTCGAGTGAAGAGAGCCAAGCGAGTCCTAAGAAGCCTGTGAGTGCTGGAACCTGGATCGATTCTACTGCCATGGTGGTATGTCGCTTTGTGGATAGCAAGGTGGAGAAAGCTACTATGAGTGAAGGACCAAATGGCTTTGCCATTGCTGCTTTTGGTGAAAACAAATTTGAATCTGAAATTCCCAATGAATCTTTGAAGATCTATAGGCAATCTGCAGGTGGGAAAAGGCCTGCTGCAGTCTTGAAAAGGCCTGCTGCAGTCTTGAAAAGGCCTGCTGCAGTCTTGAAAAGGCCTGCTGCAGTCTTGAAAAGGCCTGCTGCAATCTTGAAAAAGCCTTCTGCATGTGAAGCAGCACTTGGCACTTCTGAAGAAGAGGATGTTGAAGCTCGGCCGGCTGTGGCAGTTGCTGATCCTGAACCTGCTTCTGTTGACTTGGCATCTCCTGAATATCGCTTGGAAGATTATCCTGCCAAAGGCAGTCGAAAGTATGGTGCTTTAGGTATCAGACGAAATTTTGGAGACAAGAAACAAATCAAACCTTTCACTTTGAACAAAATTTCAAGAGAAGTTGGCTTGGATTTGGCCAAGAAATGCATTGCTGATTTGCACAATGGTGCTACTGAACAATCTGTGATTGAATTTTTGAATGAGGAAATTCGAAAGTGGAAGGTTGGACAGGATGTGGATTAGATTGGATGAACATGCAAGAAAATTGCTGCTGATTTCTGTTGCATGTTTCAAGGAGGTGTAAAATCTCCTGAGAGTTCTCTATAGGAAAATAGGAAATAGTCTTTCCACTTTTCTGTCTTAAGGAGGTGCAAGATCTCCTGACATTTGGAACTTGAGCGTTTAGTGCCTGGGTGGATTTCAAACATGGCTTATAGACTTTCATAGGATGCGGCTTTAATGTTTAATGTTGGATTGGAATTTTGGATTTGAGAAGTTTTGTCTGGAATTTGGAATGTTGAAATGGTTTGGCATGGAAATTGCAGTGTTGAGAATGGATTTTACAACTGAAGCTGCTTTGGCTTTCTAGCTCCTGTTTCAGTGCTCGAATTTTGTTCTTGCTGTTGCTATGGGAGCTGGACAATCAAGTTCCTCTCGCAGGAGGCCCGGAGATGAGGAGATTGACCGTGTTTTGGAGCTGATCAGGGTACAGACCCAGGTGATCCAGGCATTGACACCTCATGTCAATGTCCAATCACAACCTTTACCACCTCCAAATACACCTCCTCCAGCTACTTCAGGTGCCCCTCCAGGTGGTGCTTCTGCAATGCCCCCTCCAAATGTGCCCTTACCAAGTACCCCAGCGCCTGCCACCTCGCCTTCTACAAGCTACTTGAGAACATGCAGAATTTGTGGGGAAGAAGCGTATTGGCGAAATGGGTGCTGCATGAACCCAGCCTGCACTGCAACCAGGCGTTCAATAAATCGCACTTTGATGCATTGCAATTTATGTTTTAGGTTTCTCATCTTTACAAAGGAGGTGCAAGATCTCCTTTCTCAAAATATCTGCACTACTGTGTTTTGAAGATATAGTATATTGCCAAAAAAGAATGGACTCCATCCTGCTGCCTAGGTATCAGTGTACAGGGCAGACGCACCATTGGCAGATGCTGCCAAGTCCTGGGGGGGGAAATATGATGACAACCTTAAATGGAAGGTTGGAAAAAAGCACCAGGAGCGCTGGAAGCCTAACAGAGGCCAGAAGAGAGAACTGAACCATTGGTGGGCAGACAGGCAACGTTTTCCCAGACGATTTACACCATACAATCAGCCAGGACTGATGGATGAAAATTGCATGCTTTCAAAGCTATGTTGTGTAATTTTGATGCCGTACATTGAGTAAGGAGGTGCAAGATCTCCTTCAGACAATCTAGCCATTTGACTTTGGCAGGAAAAGAACCTGCTCCTAAGCGCCGCCGCCCTGATGAGCAAGTTGCTGCTGCTCCACCTGGTGAAGGCCCTGCATATTTGACATGTCATGTAGATATAGATCGATAGATAGATATAGATAGTTAGATAGATATAGATATATATATATATATATTACAGTAATATATATATGTGTGTTTTTCATGTATATGTACACATAGTATGTGAGGCATCCATTTCTAATATCACAATTGCTCACTTCTGCATGGCATAGTTGTGCTGGCAGGTTCTCCTGTTGACTTGGCATCTCCTGAATTTATCCATCCTCCTGAAGTGTTGCCTGGTGCTGGCGAAGGAGGACCTTCCTCCTCTCAGATGGCAGCTGTGGTAGCCCTCTTGCAAGGTGGCAAACATGTTTTATGATGTATCATATTGGACATAGATTGTGTTTTGAATATTTATATTTTTTTTCCAACACTGGATGCAGGTCTACCACTGGGGGAGGGAGTGAGAGGTGCAGCAGCCCAACTCACTTACATGGCTGACATGGGGGTCATCTCAATTGAAGAAGCAAGAAGACGAATGAGAATCCTCTATGCTGTGAGAGCTTCTCAAATCTATGGAAACTTGAATCATTTAGATAATGATTTTGTTTCATATATGGTTTGATATATCATGTTATGAAGGAGGTGCAAGACCTCCTCAGATGATTTTTTGTTTTGGGCATAAGGAGATCTTGCACCTCCTTTGTTTCAGTTTCAATGCATCATGAGGACCACCTACTGCACCTACTGCGCATGCTACCCCATTGGAGCTCCTGGATGAAGGAATGATCTACACAGGCTGGAGTTTTCTGTGACTGTGGGTTTGAAATTATCTCATGTCAATCATGCACTGTGCAATATGTTCATCATCATGCCTCCTGATCAGGTCCTGCTGTAACCCCATGTTCTCCTACATCACCTCTTGATGCTGGAGAGCAAGCCGATGAGGATTCAAATGTAGATTGAGTCAATTGAGCTTCCCTGGAAAAATGATTCGAGATTATGGGCGCAAGCGACTCATTAAGGAGGTGCAAGATCTCCTTGATAAACTAAATTTAAATATAAGAAAAACATGATATATGTGATATGAGCATTTCTGCATGGCTGAAGCTGTCAAGCCATATTGATCAATGTAGTGGTGATGGACCTGTAGAATCATTTTTCAAGCCTTCATGGATGCACATGATCAGCTTTGGAATGATGATGAGAGCTGATGATCTCAACCTGAGGTATCACAATCATTGCGCTAGTGTCCAGTACTGGAATCAAAAAGGAGGTGCAAGATCTCCTTGGCCGAAGCTGATGCCCATCCATTTCCTTTGTTTGAGTGGCTCTTGGCAACTCTGTAGACAATTCATTCAGGTCATGCATGATGACTCTAAAGGTTTCAAATTGGAAAAACAAGGAGGTTAAAATTGCCAATTTTAATTTTAACCCGTTTATGTATTACTTTTAAAGGCAGGACAGGTTAAAATTAAAATTGGCAATTTTAATTTTAACCAATTTTAACCTCCAATAAAAATTACTTTGGATCCAAAATAGAAACCATTGGATTTGGAACTGGAGATTCATAGACATCCCAACTTACTTCATCATTACACTTTTCAGTATTCAATGAAAGGTTCAATGGAACCTCCAAAGGAACTGCCTCCATGGAGGAAGCAGCCACTGGCCACCATTGAGAAGAACCCTGTGGACCCAATGGACAAGCAGATCGCAATGATCAAATGTATGCCAACAAAGAAGCTTTTGAAGCACTATGAGTACCTGAGAACATCTGAGACTTGTAAGCACATTATTCATGGATGAAATTCATAGTTTCTGTTCATAAAGCTGGCTTGATGAGAAAAGAATTACATATATAGATCCTTGAACCTGTGGCCCAACCCAGGAATGCGCAACTACAAAGTATTTGGCACTTTACCTCAGGCAGTGCTTGTTCAAGAGAGGTGTGAAGACTGAGCCTCTGGTACCTAGAAAAGAAACAAGTGGCAAAGACCAGAGCCAAAGTAAATAGAAGCCAATTAATTACCGCAAGATAATTAGTGTGGGAAAATGCCTGTGGACTTGTGGCTGGGCAGGGGGGGTTGTGAAGACATATGATATTTAAGGAGAACAGAGTCCTCCTTTATTTCCAAGGAGGTATTTCAACCTCCTTATAGATGAGATCCTATGGTGTGGCAATCAATTGCAAGCTTGTGCTGCTTGGTGCATTCTCAATTTTGGAGCTTGTCTTTTTGAGCCAAGTACTTGAATATATATAAATATATATATACACACATACATATACATATACATATATGTATATAGACATATATATATATATATTTTTTTTTCAATATCATCATCTTCCCTTCTCTCTTGCTTTTTCTGGCTTCCTTGGTCCTGGGCATGCTACTGTCTTGGCTGATTCGTTTTCAGAAGCTAAAGACTTGCAGGAACTGATCAGCTGAGACATTTCTTCATTGCAGCCACTACAAGGATCACAGTAGACAGCTCCCAAGCTCCAGCTTCTGCAAACATGGGCAGGAATGCTGAGCCTAAGCCTGCTCCCAAGGCTGTAGTCAAGAAGGAGAAGGCCAATGTGGATCAGAAAGACCAAGCCAACTTTGGAAATTCCTTGAAGAAGTCGAACTCAGAGGAAGCCCAACAAGTCTTGCAGCTCTACCAGTCCTTGCCTCGTTTCTCACAGCAGAAGAAGGATTTGATCCAAGCTTGGAAGGCTGACAAGACTTGCAAGTGGATCAGCACTTGGAACAAGTCTTTGGAGACTGAAAAGAAAGAAACTGTCAATGAAAGAGCTGGTTTTGGAACCAGATTCCAAGTGGCCGCCATGCTCGAAATGACAGCTGATTCTGACGAGTTTCTTGCTGTTGAAAAGCACTTGGCCAAGCAAAAAGACATGGTAGACTTGAATTGGGATGAGACGAACCCTGTGGAAGCGAGCTACAAGGCTTCCAAGCTCCAGCGATGGAATTTGGCCTTGCTGAAGAGCACATGGTCTGCTGTGAGCCAAAGCCAAGCAGCCAAGGATAACTTGACAATGTCTTCCAGTGGCTCTGAAGTGCTGCAGATCTCAGGCAAGGCTTTGGATGACAAGGGGGTCAGTAAGCCTTTGAAGGAGTTTCAGAATGTGTGCAACAGACTGAATTCCTGCAAGAATGCCTGGGAGAAGGAGCTTGCCAAGGCCCAGGACCTGGCCTGTCGTTTGGAAATCAAAGGTGACCCAAGCTTCCATGCCAAAGGCAAAGGTCTTCAGACTTGGTGTCAAGAGCAGCTGAAAGCCATTGCCAACCTTCGATCCTATGTCGCAGCCAGTGAAGATCTTGCTCCTGAGGACACTTCTCCTGAAAGCCTTTCGAAATCATTGCCTGCTGCCAAAGCATGGCTTGCTTCCAGCCAAGAGAAGCTGCAAGAAGCAAAAGCCAAGGTGAAAACTCACCAGGCATTGCTGTAGGAGCTGTTTGGCCCTTAGATTTTGGAAAGCGCATTTGGTGCAGTTGTCAGTTTTGGAATGTGGAAATGCAGATAAAAATATCGCAGGGATCTGCTTGGAAGATGCGCAGATGGTAACTGCCGCTGGAAAAAGAGCCTGCTTCTAAGCTGATGTACAAGACTCAAGGAGGTGTAAGATCTCCTTTACTGTTGCCCTGTTTCAAAGCATTGGCCAAATTTAGCATTAACTAAATACAATGTGTAATTTCTTGTCTTCTGAGGTCTTATGAACTTTTATGTTGACATGTTTTTCCAGCTCAAGCCATGTTTCACAAGAGAAAGGTAGATTTGTCTACCCTTAGGGAACCTGACCAGAAGAGGTTTCGACACAATGTTTCCAATTTGTTTTTGACCAAGACTGTCTCTGCTAGAAGAGCCATTGAGCTCATGAAAGATGCACAAATAGCTGGAGCCACTGGTGTGAAAGATTTGGTCAAAGGTGCAGAGAAATCTGGCAGTGGTGAGAAGCAAGCCAATTGGGAAAAGAATTTGGCAAGGGATATGAAAAGAAAAATGTTGAAGAATTGCCTGTGGTTCAATGAATACATTGCATTGATCCCTTGCTACAATCCTGGAACACAAGCAGAAGAGATGAAGAAGATACCTTTTCTTTTGCCACATGAGATTCTTTTTGTCTTCTCGAAGCGCTCTGAGAAGAAAGACTTGCTGCAGACTGGTGGCATGTGTGAACTCAGCAAGAAACATTTGGCGAACATGCAAATGCAGTTCCAAGTTCGAGAAGCCATAGGACTTGGCCTTTGGATCGATGGCACACCTTACAATTATGACAGAAGTCAAACTTTGGAATGCATCTCATTGAATTTTCCTGGCTTACTTCACCTAATGGTACTTTGCGAATCCCTTTGTGCTGTATTCCAAAGCACTGGTGCATCAAGGGAGTAACTTTGTCAAAGATGTTAGGAATTTTGTCTTGGTCTTTTATTCACTTAGCCAATTGCACTTGGCCTTCAGCAAGGCATGATGACAGCTTTTGGCACCCAGGCGACAAAAAACGAAGCACATTCAATGGCAAGGCATTGCCTTTCACTGCTTTTTTACTTGAAGTGAGAGGTGATTGGGCCATGAGAAAAGAAGTTTTCCAATTTCCTGGATGGCGAGACAAACAAGGATGCTGCCATTTGTGCTTGTGCAAACCAATTGAAATTCGAAACTTTGAAAGCTGCAAGGCATTTGATCCTTTGGACCATTTCACTTTGTTGCAATCAATTTCCAATTCTGGCATTGACATCAATGAATTGTTTCAAACACCAGGACTGACAAACAAACAATTTCTTTTGGACTGGCTTCACATTGTGGACTTGGGCGTGGCAGCAGATTTTATGGGCAATGTTTTTCACCATTTAATTGCCTCTGGAAAACACTTGCCTGGCAACAATGTCAAAGAAAGGGTGAAAAGCTTGTTCCACAAAATTCAAAGCTACTACAAGACTGAAGGTGTGGAAAACAAGCTTCCTACTTTGACAGTCCTCATGATCAGAAAGAAAGCCAGTTCAAGTCCAAAACTTCGAGCCAAAGCTGCAGAAGCTCGAGGGTTGATTACTTTTGCAAAACAAATCTGCGATGATTTTTTGGATGATGACAATGTGCTTGAATATACAATCAAGATGGCTGCCACAGAACTGTGGCAATGTTATTCTTTCTTGTCCAAGAATCTATGGAATCACCGGTCAATGCTGCTGCATGGCAGAAAGTTTTTGCTGTTGTGTAAGAGCTTGGAAAACGAGACTGACCATACTTGGAAGATCAAACCAAAGCACCACAGCTTCTTAGATTTATTGCTCCAGAACTCTTGTCCATCAGACAGTTGGACATATCGAGACGAAGACTTTGGTGGCTTCCTAGCTCACTTAGGAGCTGTGAAAGGCGGAAGCCACAACCCTTATTCCATAGGCATGAGTGTTCTGCAAAGTTTTCGAGCACAATTGATTCCAGAGCTGAAGTGAAAAGTTTTGCTGCCAGGATCTGGGATAAGGAGGTTTCAAGTCTCCTGCTGAAGGAGGTGCAAGATCTCCTTGCAATTGAAAATTTAAGGAGGAATTTTAAGGAGGAATTTTTGAAAAATTCCACCTTAATTTAAGGAGGAATTTTAAGGAGGAATTCCTTAAATAAGGAGGAATTCCTTAAATAAGGAGGAATGGAAGTTCTGGGTATACATGCGCTTGTAATTCAAGTCAATTGGTGCATCTGTGAATATCTCTAAGCTTATCTATGCTGAATTTGTACGCACAAATTTGCTTCCTCTGTGTGTATGCACACATCTCTAATATCAGTGTATATATATTAGATAAATATACATGTACATTAAGACACATAATGTTTATTTTTACACTAATGAGCATTGATTTGATTCACGAAGAATGGGATTGCACATTGGAAGGACGCAGCCAAGACATGTACTTAAGCATATTTTTATGCGAGTACAATGGAAAAATCAACTTTCGGATGTGTATAAAATCACGAGCAGCGATCAGCCAACCAGCTGCTAGCACGCTAAAGATTCGAAATGTCAACTCTGCCGATCCCAAGACACCACACAACCCGAAAGCCTGCCTCCATGTTCACATCATCAGCTTCATTTGTCCTGGGTACGAGCCAGAAGGGGTTCTGGAAGCCATCGCCTGCGCCGTTGCCAGTCTTGGAATAGCTGCAGATGACGACCATGAAGTTCTCAAATGTTCCAATGGGCAACTGGTCCGAGGTGATTTTGTTTGCCTCAATCAGCATGACACTAGTACTGGCGCACGGCAATTGAAGCTTCTTGGCAGGCCAATGCTTTGTGACTTTGATAGCCTTTGGGTTCGTAAAGATCTGCAGAGCATCCCAGCCTTGCAACTTCTTGCACTGCTCTGCCATAGCACCGAAGACCTTGGCCTTCAACAGACAATGTTGGAACTCCACGCTGGAAGGTGGGGAATGCTGCAGCCACGTCACCTCCAGCTGTGGCTTAGGCTCGCTGTACTGCTTCCACTCATTGCCAATGAAGGAGGCAGTGGACACGAAGACTTTGTTGCTCTCCACAATCAAGTGCACCTCGTCACCTTGGACACGATCGATCTTCGCCACGGTCTGGCCGCGCTGCACTTGAGAGCCAACAGCGAAGCCCATCGAAGCCAAGACTTCGGTTGCGTTTGTCAGCTGACCTTTGTCGTTGTATTCTCTCACGACAGTGTTGTTGGATGGCTTCTTGGGAGGAGGCTTCTTCTCAGTCTGAGTCTGGCTCCATTGGCTTGGCGGCGCCAGTGCCACGCCAACTTCTTTTGAAAAATCCTGCAGTGTCTGCCGGGCTGCATCTTCCATCTTGTCGTGCGTTCTGTTTTTCTTGTCCAGCACACATGCTGCCAAGTGCACCTCTAAGCTGCCATGTGCACGCAGGAACTTCAACTGCTTGTTGTCATCGTTGGCGTAGGCTTTGGTCAATGTGGTCCACTGGTCCAGCAGTTTCATGGCGGAGAGTGCCTTTTGCAGAACCTCCCTGTTTGTCATCGCTCGTTTGGCCTCGGATGTCAGGGCTGTGCATCTTGAACTGTTTGTAGCTGTCACATATGTCTTTGGAATTGCCCATGCGAAATTCATTGAAACATATCTCAGCCGACGTTGTGAAGCGTACGTTATTATATGCGATCAAGTCTTCAACCAAAAAGAGCAAGCGAGCAACACGCCCAACCTGCAGGGAGGTTGACAGCAATGACAATTGATATATATATATAATACATGTGTGTGTACGTACTGATATAAATTGCTTCCGAGCGGCGTCTGTGACTGTCAAGGTGGTGTCACCAGCAAATCCATACTTCAGCAATGCGTGTCTCCAACGGAGGTGGTCGGGGAAGTTCTTCATCTCTTGGGATAGTGTGGCCCAAGTTTCCTGCCCAAGTTCTCGGCCCCCCTTGCCACACGCTCTCACGTAGGCTTGTGTGTCCGCCAACAACTTGCTGGAGCCACCAAATCTCACCACAAAGCCAAAGATTGCGGGACCTGAAGGTCCACACTTTGGTCGTGAGCGCAGAGCCGCGCCTGCCACGTCCTGCCACTTCGGCGCTCCACTGCCACCATAAGCCTTGCATGCCTGTCTTATCTTGTTCAGCAGCTGCATCTCGTCCTCCTGCTTGGAGATGCTCTGGTTGGTGTTTCCACTCTGGCAAACCATGTCCACCAACTCTGGGAACTGCTGCCATACCACTGCTTTGATGACCTTCCATTCTGCACCATCTTGGATTGCTCGTCTCCATTCATTCGGTATGTCGTGAACCATGCTACCATGCATGATTGCACGAGCTGCCATGTTGGCATGGCTTCCACAAATGGTCGCAAATCTGATCTCCTCCGAACTTGGAAGGGTTCCATTGGACTCCATCGCCAGCTTTCGGTTGAAAGCCCTGCCAAGTTAACATTTAAACTTAGGAGGTGTTGGCGCCCATTGTAGGGATGACAGACAATCATGTGTGAAAACGTCATGTGTCCCTTTAGATACAATGTTGGCAATTGAAGTGCAAGTGAGGAAAGATCATGAGAGACCCACCTTGAAAGATTGTCAAATTTGAAAGGCTAGATCAGTCATGCATCCCATACCATCTACTTTTTTCATCATCAAACGGAATAAGAACGGTGAGGGTGGTGAGGGATGAGCTACATGAACAAACTTCGCCCTGCCTTGTGCACTCCGAGGCTGGTGAACCATCCAACTCGATGCAAACGCGTGCGGAGATGTCATCCACGTACCCCACAGCTGAGATGTTCTTCACAAGATCCACCATATGGTTCAAGTCAATTCCTATTCCGCCTCTGTTTTCATGGTGGACCCCAAGGTGGATGCATTTAATCCTCTGAACGTAGCTCAGAGTCTCCTGCTCCAAGTAGTCCAAAACCTTCTTGGAGATCGCCATCATGCCTTCATTCGCGGCGGCCTGAATGTACTTCTGGATCTGGTCTTTCTGCGCCTGGTTCATTGCTCAGAACCTGGATTTCCCAGCACAGACCTGACTATATATGACGCATTTTTGCAAAGCCGTACTTATAGTGTGTATGTTCCGTTGTTGAATGTGGAAATGCCTTGATGACAGGATTTGCCACTGCCCACATCACATAACATGCCTGACAAAATCACACAAAGCATGTCTATTTCATGCGATATAAAGCATGCATCTGAGAGTTTGAGTGTGTGAGCTAGCATGGCTGCAGTGATGAAGTGGGAGATCATGCATGCGTGCAAGCGTGCACAGCATGCAGGCACAGATCTGCTTGAAACTCATCTTGGCCTCTAACTTTTAGACACATGGACAACCGTAGAATTTTGCGAATGCTGCATCAAGCAAGTAAACCAAACTGAACTGAGTATGCTGTCCATGCTGCATCAAGAAAAGCAAACTGCACCCAGTATGCTATCCATTTTTTTGACGGCTGATTGCAATGGAAATCTGGCGAACAACGCGTTGCCACATCAAAAACCTAGCTCTGGCAGACCTCCTGGCGTTTTGAGGTGGACGGCTGCAAGAGTCAATCTGAAAGTCCATCACTCGCACCATCCATAGGCATTGAAAAAGCGACCTGCACGTTTTCAAGGATAGCACCAACTGACCGTTTGCTTAACCCAACCTCATGAGAACAGGAACTCTTGAAAGGAAACGTGCGTCGAATCACGTGTTGGATGATGCCCGCTTCAAACAGCAAACTAATCAGCCTTCATCAATGGATCTAAACCATTGGCTTCATCTCCATCTTCGGTTTAGCTTTTTATTTTCAAACCCATAATCAAATATATGTTCTTTGTCTTTGGCAGGATTGGAAAACTCATGGATGCGTTAACCTGATCAAAACCTGCACAGATTCGACTTCAGCGATCTACAAAACCGAGCCACTGCCAATGGAATCTTGATCAACAATGCCCCAAGGCCGGACAGACTCGCTCTCCGCAAAAATCGTCTGACTGTGCGTATAGTCGGGCTTGAATAACAGCTGGTTCGGTTGAAAGGGCACCGACAGCACGCATTCTGTCACCGATGTGGTGACCCCGTTTTGGACGAGGTGGTCCAAACAGTATTTCAAGGCATTCCCCTGCGTAATGCGATCCTCGCACCAAATCTGAGACATTCACTATATGTTACTTTCCCAACTGTGACATGGGACATGTGACAAAAAAAAACTTTGAACTTCAACAGTGAAAAATTATCAAACCTTTTGCAAGAAACGTTGGCGTAGAAGAACTTGGTGCAGATGTGCTCCCCTGAGCTGCTGTAGCGCCATGAAACTGCATGCACCAAGCCATCATCTCGAGTGCATATCCCTTGCTCCACCACGATCTTCGGTCGAAATTCGTGGATCAAGACACCAACGTATGGGAATCTATTCTGGCAATGAGCATACACCAGCAACGGTTTGCCTTTCCATTCCTTCCTCTCCATATACTGGTACTTGCATGCGCTGCCACCTCCTTGTGAGAACTTGGCCATGAAGATGTCGTCACAGGCCAAGACTCGTCCATACTGCCCCGGCCACAAATTCACGAAGTTCTTGGCTTTTGGGAGTTCGTCAGGCTTCTTGAGGAGGCAGTATTCCATACACACCATAGACTCATCAAGCTGACTTTCAAACATGTCAACTGGAGCTCCATGACCTCATCACGGCAGTGATTACTCAGTTTGTGTCTAAGTTTTGACACTGTGTCTGCCCAAACTCTTTGAGCCACTTCAGTCAGGGAACGGCAAGGTTCTTCACGCAATCTGTCAGTTTGGTTGGCAACATCAATCATTGACAGTTGCAGTAGTTTTTCTGAATTCACAAGCATGGCAACTGAAACTCACATGTTCAAGAGGCCAAGACGGTGACTTCACATGCGCAACTCAGCAAGCATGAAATCAAACATGGTCTCAAACATGTCGGTTTGGTGAACGCGTCCACTGAATTCACAAAGTCAAAAACAAAAAGGCATTGTGAGAGATTTGGCGTTCCAAAGTTTGTTCAAAACAAATTTCACTTTTGCGTATCTTGCTTCTGGCGTTCCATGAGGCCTCAGATTCTTTCGTTGACCAAAAATCCCTTCCAAAAACACTTCGGGACATGAACCCGCATGATGAGTTGCTGCTATTTTTTCCAATATGACTCATAAAAATTGAGTTTGATGTTTTGCACGCTATTTCGAAGCGAGACACATGCCAGCACATTTTGAAAGCAGCAGCGAGTAGTTTAACCCAACTGCTTGTTCTTTTCTGACGCATCAACCACCCCAAGTACACAAAACCAAATTGACAAAACAGGCAAAAAATGTTTTTCCTATCCAATCTTCAAACATGATTGAGCAAAATTTTCCACATGTTCCTGTCCAAGTGGGAGGCGCTTGACATGTAGAAACCGAAAACCAAAGCTAACGCATATAAGGGATGATGTGACCCGTCTTGTATTTCACACACGCTTGCATATGATTACGCATGTAAGCGAACCAAAACGCTGCTCAAATAACAGTCCAACCTTAAGATTGTAAATCATAGTGAAAAGCAAAACCTCTCTAAACGATATTCAAATTCGACAAAAATGATATCACCACCTCTGTCACTTGAACGCGTCCACGTTGCGAAGCGAGCTCATGCACTTGCGCACCGACCCAAACGCGCATCTCAACAAGGCCCCTGCGTACTTAGTAAGTAGGTCCTGGCGTACTTAGTAATAGGCCCCTGCGTACTTAGTAAGTAGGCCCCGGCATACTTAGTAAGTAGGCCCCGGCGTACTTAGTAAGTAGGCCCCGGCGTACTTAGTAAGTAGGCCCCCGGCATACTTAGTAAGTAGGCCCCCGCGTACTTAGTAAGTAGGCCCCCGCGTACTTAGTAAGTTAAATATTTAACTTGTTAACTTAAATAGTCAAGATATGTATGTAGGCTATGTGTTTAGTAAGTACTCTAAGTTAACATGGCGAACTTACCAAAAAGTTGTCTAAGTAGGCCGCAACTAAATAGCCAACATACTATCTACATAGCACAAGAGCGTCAACATAGTAAGTAAGCCCGGTGAACTTAACATATGTTAACCCAATATATAACTTAGGTTAGAACATGTTAGTGAGCAACTTATAATATAGCTTAGCTTGATCCAAAGGGGCTCCAGGGATGGTTTCTATAGAGGGTGGACGGGGCATGACGTAAACATAAACTATGTCTAGGCGTAAGTAAAAACATATGTGAAACATAAACGAAACATATGTGGAACGCAAACGAAACATAAATGGAATATAATTGAAACATAAGTGACACATAAAGCAAAACATGTGTGTGAAATTTGCAACATATGTGAAACATGAGTTGGCCGTCCCCCCTGTGTCAAGCAGTTGCCAATTTGAAATCCAAACCTGGTACAAACCTGCAGCCAATGTGAAACTGATGTCTCCCACATGTTTCACATATGTCTGACATACGTTTTGTTTGCACAGCACTTGCGTCAGGCAAAAGTCTAAGATCTTATTCTGGGAAAATAAGATCTTAGGATTTTGACATACATAAAAAAACACAAGCGAAACACAAACAAAATAAACAAAACACAAATGTAGCATAAACGTGTTTATGTTTTTTTGTGTTTTGTTTCTGTTTTGGTTTATTTTTTGTTTATGTTTGATTTGTTTTTTTGTCGATGATTTGCGTATGGCCTTATTTTTTTTTATGTTTTTTTGTGTTTCTTTATGCTTGTTTGCAAAAAAAACACAAAAAAAACATAAAAAATAAGGCCTTACGCAAATAATTGACACAAAAAACACAAACAAAACATAAACCAAAACATAAACAGAACACAAAAAAACATAAACAAAATTATGCTACATTTGTGTTTTGTTTATGTTTTGTTTGTGTTTCGCTTGTATTTTTTTTATGTATGTCAAAATCCTAAGATCTTATTTTCCCAGAATAAGATCTTAGACTTTTGCCTGACGCAAGTGCTGCGCAAACAAAACGTATTTCAAACACAAGTGAAACACAGAGCAAACATTGTGTCACATAACTCCGCTCACCTCCAGAGAAGATGGAAACACGTGCGCGACAGTTGGGACACATGACTGCCAGAATGGTTTGTGGATTCATTTGTGTTTTGTTGATGAGTCGTTTTATGTTTTATTGTGGATTCACTTGCGTTCTGTTTATGATGAGTTTCCGATGTGTTTATGATTCACTTGTGTTTGCTTTTATGTTGCGTTTACGTTGTTTTATGTTGGTTCTTTACGTCTTTGGTTTATGTAAGGCTCTTAGCCTCAGATCTGGTTCCTATAGACGAAGCCCTTTGGGTTTACCTAAAATATAGCTTAAGTAGCACCATCTAGATAGCAACCAAGCCGGTCATCCAAGTACCCCATGTCTCCACCCATTCCCTGGCCCCACCCCCTTGCATCTATTATATCGGTTAACCTATATGCGCACATAGCCAGCCGACAAGCAACCATTTTCCATGCTCGTTCTCCCCACCCATTTCCAGCCGCTCCCTTGCAACCACGCCGTCCGGAGCCTTCTGCGCAGCCAAGCTCACTCATCCCCAGCGGCTTCTTCTCCCTACCCGATTCCAGCCACTCCTTGCACCCACGCCGTCCGATGACGTCCCACGCCGTCCGCAGCCGTCCGCGCAATTCTCCGCACCCATTTCCCGTCCGCAGCCGTCCGCGCAGCCAAGCTCGCTCATCCCCAGCGGCTTCTTCTCCCCACCCATTTCCAGCCACTCCCTTGCACGACCCCATTTCCCCTCCGCAGCCGTCAGCTCGCTCATCCCAAGCGGCTTCTTCTCCCCACCCATTTCGAGCCACTCCCTTGCACCCACGCCGTCCGCAGCCGTCCGCACAATTCTCCGAACCCATTTGCTGTCTGCAGCCGTCCGCGCAGCCAAGCTCGCTCATCTCCAGCGGCTTCTTCTCCCCACCCATTTCCGGCCACTCCCTGGCACCCACGCCGTCCGCACCCGTCCGCGCAATTCTCCGCAGCCATTTCCC